TCATAGCTGTGGGGTCCACCCTATATCTATGCCCCATGGCTCTGCCCCATAGCTCTGCCCCCCATGGGCTGTGGGTCACCCCCATAGCTCTGCCCCTAGCTCTGTACCCCGTAGCTTTGCCCCGTGGCTCTGTACCCCATAGTTCTGCCCCATAGCTCTGCCCCCATAGCTCTGCCCCATAGTTCTGCCCCATAGCTCTGTTCCCATCTATCTGCCCCATAGCTCAGCCCCATGACTGTGGGTCACCCCATGGCTCAGCCCCATAGCTCAGCCCCATGGCTCTGTCCCCATAGCTCTGCCCCATAGCTCTGCCCCATGGCTCAGCCCCAATGGCTCTGTCCCCATAGCTCTACCCCACAGCTCTGTGCCCCATAGCTCAGCCCCATGGCTCTGGGTCACCCCATGCCGCAGCCCCATGGCTGTGGGTTACCCCATGGCTCAGCCCCATGGCTGTGGGTCACCCCATAGCTCAGCCCCATAGCTCTGCCCCATGGCTGCGGGTCACCCTGTAGCTCAGCCCCCATAGCTCAGCCCCATAGCTCTGCCCCATGGCTCAGCCCCATAGCTCAGCCCCATGGCCGTGGGTCACCCTATAGCTCAGCCCCATAGCTCAGCCCCATAGCTCTGCCCCATAGCTCAGCCCCATGGCTCAGCCCCATGTTTGTGGGGTCACCCCATGGCTCAGCCCCATAGCTCAGCCCCATGGCTGTGGGTCACCCCATAGCTCAGCCCCATAGCTCAGCCCCATGGCTCAGCCCCATGGCTGTGGGTCACCCCATGGCTCAGCCCCATAGCTCAGCCCCATGGCTCAGCCCCATGGCTCAGCCCCATGGCTGTGGGTCACCCCATAGCTCAGCCCCATAGCTCAGCCCCATGGCTCAGCCCCATGGCTGTGGGTCACCCCATGGCTCAGCCCCATAGCTCAGCCCCATGGCTCAGCCCCATGGCTCTGGGTCACCCCATGCCGCAGCCCCATGGCTGTGGGTTACCCCATGGCTCAGCCCCATGGCTGTGGGTCACCCCATAGCTCAGCCCCATAGCTCTGCCCCCATGGCTGCGGGTCACCCTGTAGCTCAGCCCCATAGCTCAGCCCCATAGCTCTGCCCCATAGCTCAGCCCCATAGCTCTGCCCCATGGCTGCGGGTCACCCTGTAGCTCAGCCCCATAGCTCAGCCCCATAGCTCTGCCCCATGGCTCAGCCCCATAGCTCAGCCCCATGGCCGTGGGTCACCCTATAGCTCAGCCCCATAGCTCAGCCCCATAGCTCTGCCCCATAGCTCTGCCCCATGGCTCAGACCCATGGCTCAGACCCATGTCTGTGGGTCACCCCATGGCTCAGCCCCATAGCTCAGCCCCATGGCTCAGCCCCATGGCTGTGGGTCACCCCATGGCTCAGCCCCATAGCTCAGCCCCATGGCTCAGCCCCATGGCTCAGCCCCATGGCTGTGGGTCACCCCATAGCTCAGCCCCATAGCTCAGCCCCATGGCTCAGCCCCATGGCTGTGGGTCACCCCATGGCTCAGCCCCATAGCTCAGCCCCATGGCTCAGCCCCATGGCTCTGGGTCACCCCATGCCGCAGCCCCATGGCTGTGGGTTACCCCATGGCTCAGCCCCATGGCTGTGGGTCACCCCATAGCTCAGCCCCATAGCTCTGCCCCATGGCTGCGGGTCACCCTGTAGCTCAGCCCCATAGCTCAGCCCCATAGCTCTGCCCCATAGCTCAGCCCCATAGCTCTGCCCCATGGCTGCGGGTCACCCTGTAGCTCAGCCCCATAGCTCAGCCCCATAGCTCTGCCCCATGGCTCAGCCCCATAGCTCAGCCCCATGGCCGTGGGTCACCCTATAGCTCAGCCCCATAGCTCAGCCCCATAGCTCTGCCCCATAGCTCTGCCCCATGGCTCAGACCCATGGCTCAGACCCATGTCTGTGGGTCACCCCATGGCTCAGCCCCATAGCTCAGCCCCATGGCTCAGCCCCATGGCTGTGGGTCACCCCATAGCTCAGCCCCATAGCTCAGCCCCATGGCTCAGCCCCATGGCTGTGGGTCACCCCATGGCTCAGCCCCATAGCTCAGCCCCATGGCTCAGCCCCATGGCTCAGCCCCATGGCTGTGGGTCACCCCATAGCTCAGCCCCATGGCTCAGTCCCATAGCTCAGCCCCATGGCTGTGGGTCACCCCATAGCTCAGCCCCATGGCTGTGGTTCACCCCATAGCTCAGCCCCATGGCTGTGGTTCACCCCATGGCTCAGCCCCATAGCCGTGGGTCACCCCATGGCTCAGCCCCACAGCCCTGCCCGCAGGTGATCTACACGGTGCGGAAACCCAAGGACGTCCTGGTCTCCCTCTACCACTTCGCCCGCATCTTCCGGCCCTACAAAGACCCGGGAGCCTGGAGCAGTTCCTGGAGCACTTCCTCAAGGGGGACGGTGGGGGCGCTGTGGGGCCGGGGGCGGCTGGGGGGGTCAATGGGGGTCAATGGGGTCAATGGGGGGTCAATAGGGGGTCAATGGGGGGGTCAATGGGGGTCAATGGGGGGGTCAATGGGGGGTCAATGGGGGTCAATGGGGGGGTCAATGGGGGTCCATGGGGGGGTCAATGGGGGGTCAATGGGGGCTCTGTGGGGGGCTATGGGGGTCAATGGGGGTCAATGGGGGCTCTATGGGGGTCAATGGGGGGTCAATGGGGGTCAATGGGGGCTCTTTGGGGACTCTATGGGGGTCAATGGGGGCTCTATGGGGGGTCAATGGGGGCTCTGTGGGGGGTCAATGGGGGTCAATGGGGGGTCAATGGGGGCTCTATGGGGGGCTATGGGGGTCAATGGGGGGTCAATGGGGGGGTCAATGGGGGCTCTATGGGGGGCTATGGGGGCTCTATGGGGGCTATGGGGGTCAATGGGGGGTCAATGGGGGCTCTATGGGGGGCTATGGGGGTTCTATGGGGGTCAGTGGGGGCTCTATGGGGGGCTATGGGGGTCAATGGGCCTCTATGGGGGGTCAATGGGGGTCAATGGGGGGTCAATGGGGTCAATGGGGGCTCTATGGGGACTCTATGGGGGTCAATAGGGGGGTATGGGGGTCAATGGGGGCTCTATGGGGGGCTATGGGGGCTCTATGGGGGCGATGGGGGTCAATGGGGGGTCAATGGGGGTCAATGGGGGCTCTATAGGGGGGGTCAATGGGGGCTCTATGGGGGGCTATGGGGGCTCTATGGGGGCCCGTGGGGGCTCTATGGGGGGGCTATGGGGGTTCTATGGGGGTCAGTGGGGGCTCTATGGGGGGGCTATGGGGGTCAATGGGGGCTCTATGGGGGGTCAATGGGGGTCAATGGGGGGTCAATGTGGGCTCTATTGGGGACTCTATGGGGGTCAATGGGGGCTCTATGGGGACTCTATGGGGGTCAATAGGGGGGTATGGGGGTCAGTGGGGGCTCTATGGGGGGCTATGGGGGCTCTATGGGGGCTATGGGGGTCAATTGGGGGGTCAATGGGGGCTCTATGGGGGGCTATGGGGGCTCTATGGGGGTCAGTGGGGGCTCTATGGGGGGCTATGGGGGCTCTATGGGGTCAATGGGGTGCTCATGGGGGTCAATGGGAGCTCTATGGGGGTGAATGGGACTCTATGGGGGCTATGGGGGGTCAATGGGGGCTATATGGGGGGTCAAATTGGGGGGTCAACTGGGGTCAATGGGGGTCAATGGGGGCTCTATGGGGACTCTATGGGGTCAATGGGGGTCAATGGGGGGTCAATGGGAGCTCTATGGGGGGCTATGGGGGCTCTATGGGGGTCAGTGGGGGCTCTATGGGGGCTATGGGGGTCAATGGGGCTCTATGGGGGTCAATGGGGGTTCTATGGGGGGCTATGGGGGCTCTATGGGGTCAGTGGGGGCTCTATGGGGGTCAGTGGGGGCTCTATGGGGGGCTATGGGGGCTCTATGGGGGTCAATGGGGCTCTATGGGGGGTCAATGGGGGTTCTATGGGGGCTATGAGGGCTCTATGGGGGGTCAATGGGGGTCTATGCAGCCAATGGGGGCTCTGTGGGGGGTTCAATGGGGCTCTCTGGGGGGTTCAGTAGGGCTCTATGGGGCTCTATGGGTGTTCAATGGGTCTCTATGGGGCTCTATGGGGGTTCAATGGGTCTCTATGGGGCTCTATGGGTGTTCAATGGGGCTCTATGGGGCTCTTTGGGGGGTTCAATGGGGCTCTCTGGGGGTTCAGTAGGGCTCTATGGGGCTCTATGGGTTCTATGGGTGTTCAATGGGGCTCTATGGGGCTCTATGGGTGTTCAATGGGGCTCTCTGGGGCTCTATGGGGGTTCAATGGGGCTCTATGGGGCTCTATGGGGGTTCAATGGGGCTCTCTGGGGCTCTATGGGGGTTCAATGGGGCTCTATGGGGCTCTATGGGGGTTCAATGGGGCGGACTCCCCCCAGTGCCCTTTGGTTCCTGGTTCGACCACGTCCGGGGCTGGATGGGGCTGCGGGGCCGCGACAACTTCTTCTGCATCAGCTACGAGGAGCTGCAGCAGGTGGGGAGCGCCATAGATCCTATATAGATCCTATAGACCCTATGGACCCTATAGACCCTATAGACCCTATAGATCCTATGGATCCTATAGATCCTATAGATCCTATAGATCCTATGGACCCTATAGATCCTATGGACCCTATGGACCCTATAGATCCTATAGACCCTATAGATCCTATGGAGCCTATAGACCCTATAGATCCTATGGACCCTATAGATCCCTATAGACCCTATGGACCCTATAGACCCTATAGATCCTATAGACCCTATAGACCCTATGGACCCTATAGACCCTATAGATCCTATAGACCCTATAGATCCTATGGACCCTATAGAGCCTATAGATCCTATGGACCCTATAGATCCTATAGATCCTATAGATCCTATGGACCCTATAGATCCTATAGATCCTATAGACCCTATGGACCCTATAGACCCTATAGACCCTATAGATCCTATGGACCCTATAGATCCTATAGATCCTATAGATCCTATGGACCCTATAGATCCTATGGACCCTATGGACCCTATAGATCCTATAGACCCTATAGATCCTATGGAGCCTATAGACCCTATAGATCCTATGGACCCTATAGATCCTATAGACCCTATGGACCCTATAGACCCTATAGATCCTATAGACCCTATAGACCCTATGGACCCTATAGACCCTATAGATCCTATAGACCCTATAGATCCTATGGACCCTATAGAGCCTATAGATCCTATGGACCCTATAGATCCTATAGATCCTATAGATCCTATGGACCCTATAGATCCTATGGACCCTATGGACCCTATAGATCCTATGGAGCCTATAGACCCTATAGATCCTATGGACCCTATAGATCCTATAGACCCTATGGACCCTATAGACCCTATGGACCCTATAGACCCTATAGATCCTATAGACCCTATAGACCCTATGGACCCTATAGACCCTATAGATCCTATAGACCCTATAGACCCTATAGATCCTATGGACCCTATAGAACCTATGGACCCTATAGACCCTATAGATCCTATAGACTCTATCGACCCTATAGATCCTATGGACCCTATAGACCCTATAGACCCTATAGATCCTTTGGACCCTATAGACCCTATAGACCCTATAGATCTTATGGACCCTATAGAGCCTATGGACTCTATAGACCCTATAGAGCCTATGGACCCTATAGAGCCTATAGAGCCTATAGACCCTATAGATCTTATGGACCCTATAGAGCCTATGGACCCTATAGACCCTATAGAGCCTATAGACCCTATGGACCCTATAGAGCCTATAGACCCTATAGACCCTATAGATCTTATGGACCCTATAGAGCCTATGGACCCTATAGACCCTATAGATCCTATGGACCCTATAGAGCCTATAGACCCTATAGATCCTATGGACCCTGTAGACCCTATAGACCCTATGGACCCTATAGACCCTATAGAGCCTATGGACCCTATAGAGCCTATAGACCCTATAGATCCTATGGAGCTATAGACCCTATAGACCCTATAGATCCTATGGACCCTATAGACCCTATAGACCCTATAGAGCCTATGGACCCTATAGAGCCTATAGACCCTATAAATCCTATAGACCCTATAGACCCTATAGATCCTATGGACCCTATAGACCCCTATGGACCCTATAGACCCTATAGACCCTATAGAGCCTATAGACCCCATAGAGCCTATAGAGCCTATATCCATGGAGCCTATAGAGCCTATAGAGCCTATATCCATGGCGCCTATAGACCCTATAGAGCCTATATCCATAGACCCTATAGACCCTATAGACCCTATATCTATGGACCCTATAGCCCCTATATCCATGGAGCCTAGAGATCCTATAGCCCCTATATCCATGGAGCCTATAGACCCTATAGATCCTACATCCATGGAGCCTATAGACCCTATAGAGCCTATATCCATGGAGCCTATAGACCCTATAGATCCTACATCCATGGAGCCTATAGACCCTATAGAGCCTATATCCATGGAGCCTATAGATCCTATATCCAGGGATCCTATAGATCCTATATCCATGGAGCCTATAGACCCTATATCTATGGATCCTATAGAGCCTATATCCATGGAGGCCTATAGATCCTATATCCATTGACCCTATAGATCCTATATCCATGGATCCTGTAGATCCTATATCCATGAAGCCCTATAGACCCTATATCCAGGGATACTATAGATCCTATATCCATGGACCCTATACATCCTCTATCCATGGATGCTATTGAACCTATATCCATGGAGCCTATAGATCCTATATCCATGGACCCTATAGTCCCTATATCCATGGATCCTATAGACCCTATATCCATGGATCCTATAGATCCTATATCCAGAGAGCCCAGAGATCCCAGATCCCATAGATCCTATAGATCCTATCTTCCATAGATCCCGTATCTCCCCTATCCCATGTATCCCATGAATCCCGTCTATCCCATTTACCCCATCTACCCCACGTCCCCCCCATATCCCCCCCACGTGCCCCCCACATCCCTCCCCACATCCCCCCCACGTCCCTCCCCGTATCCCCCCCATATCCCCCCCATATCCGCCCCAAGTCCCCCCCACATCCCCCCCACATCCTCCCCATATCCCCCCCACATCCCCCCCATATCCCCCCCATATGCCCCCACATCCCCCCCATATCCCCCCCATATGCCCCCACATCCCCCCCATATCCCTCCCCACATCCCCCCACATCCCCCCCACATCCCTCCCCGTATCCCTCCCCCACATCCCCCCCACATCCCCCCAATATCCCTCCCACATCCCTCCCCGTATCCCTCCCCACATCCCCCCCATATCCCCCCCATATTCCCCCCACATCCCTCCCCACATCCCCCCACATCCCCCCCATATCCGTCCCCACATCCCCCCCACGTCCCCCCTCACATCCCTCCCCGTATCCCTCCCCACATCCCCCCCATATCCCCCCCATATCCCCCCCACATCCCCCCCACATCCCCCCCCCACATCCCCCCCACACCCCCCCCAATCTCCCCCCCTTGCGCATGCGCTGTGTGTGCTCAGGACCTGCGGGGCAGCGTGCAGCGCCTCTGCGCGTTCCTGGGCCGGCCGCTGGGGGGCGCTGCCCTGGGACGCGGTCGTGGCCAACGCGTCCTTCGCGGCCATGAGCCGCAACCGGATGAGCAACTTCAGCCTCTCCCCCTCTTCATCCTGGACCTGAGGAGGGGGCCGTTCCTGCGCAAGGGTGCGGGGGGGGGGACGTGTGGGGGGCATGGGGGATATGGGGGGATGGGGGCATGGGGGTGATGGGGGACATGGGATGCATGGGGGGATGGGGGCATGGGGGATATGGGGTGCATGGGGGATATGGGGGGCATGGGGGATATGGGGTGCATGGGGGATATGGGGGGCATGGGGGGGATGGGGGAATGGGGTGCATGGGGGGCGTGGGGGACATGGGGGACATGGGGTGCATGGGGGGATATGGGGTGCATGGGGGATATGGGGTGCATGGGGGATATGGGGGACATGGGGGTATGGGGGACATGGGGGATATGGGGGACATGGGGGACATGGGATGCATGGGGGATATGGGGTGCATGGGGGATATGGGGGACATGGGGGATATGGGGGGCATGGGGGACATGGGGGGCATGGGGGGACATGGGGGGCATGGGGGATATGGGGTGCATGGGGGATATGGGGGGCATGGGGGATATGGGGGGCATGGGGGACATGGGGGGCATGGGGGACATGGGGATATGGGGGGCATGGGGGACATGGGGGGCATGGGGGATATGGGGGGCATGGGGGATATGGGGTGCATGGGGGATATGGAGGACATGGGGGATATAGGGGACATGGGGGGCATGGGGGATATGGGGGGGCATGGGGGATATAGGGGGCATGGGGGACATGGGGGGCATGGGGGATATGGGGGGCATGGGGGATATGGGGAACATGGGGGATATGGGGGACATGGGGGATATGGGGGACATGGGGGGCATGCGGGGCATGGGGGACATGGGGGTATGGGGGGCATGGTGGATATGGGGGCATGGGGGACATGGGGTGCATGGGGGATATGGGGGGAATGGGGGACATGGGGGTATGGGGGACATGGGGGACATGGGGGATATTTGGGACATGGGGGTATGGGGGACATGGAGTGCATGGGGGATATGGGGGGCATGGGGGACATGGGGGATATGGGGGACATGGGCGTATGGGGGACATGGGGGGATGGGGGACATGGGGGACATGGGGTGCATGGGGGATATGGGGGGCATGTGGGGCATGGGGGCCATGGGGTGCATGGGAGGCATGGGGGACATGGGGTGCATGGGGGATATGGGGGTATGGGGGACATGGGGGGCATGGGGGATATGGGGAACATGGGGGATATGGGGGGCATGAGGTGCATGGGGGATATGGGGAACATGGGGGATATGGGGGGACATGGGGGTATGGGGACATGGGGGATATAGGGGGCATGGGGGACATGGGGTGCATGGGGGATACGGGGGACATGGGGTGCATGGTGTACATCGGGGACATGGGGTGCACGGTGGACATGGGGGCACGGTGGACCCTGGGGGGCATGGGAGATATGGGGGGCATGGGGTGCATGGGGGGCATGGGGGACATGGGATAGACTGCATATGGAATAGATGGGATATGGGATAGATGGGATATATGGGATATGGGGTAGCAGGATATGGGATACATGGGATGGGTGGGATATGGGATGGATGGGACAGGATATGGGATACATGGGATAGATGGGACGGATGGGATACACGGGATGGGATATGGAATACATGGGATGGATGAATATGGGATGCATGGGATATGGGATACATGGGATAGCTGGGATATGGGATACATGGGATATGGGATACATGGGATATGGGGTATAGCATATATGGGATATGGGATGGGACGGATGGGAGAGACAGGATGGGATATGGAATACATGGGATAGATGGGATATGGGATACATGGGATATGGGATACATGGGATATGGGATACATGGGATGGATGGGAGAGACAGGATATGGGATAGATGGGATACACAGGATGGGAAATGGGATACATGGGATAGATGGGATACATGAGATAGATGGGAAATGGGATACATGGGATAGATGGGATACATGAGATAGATGGGAATGGGATACATGGGATAGATGGGAAATGGGATACATGGGATAGATGGGATACATGAGATAGATGGGAAATGGGATACATGGGATAGATGGGATACATGAGATAGATGGGAAATGGGATACATGGGATAGGTGGGAAATGGATACATGGGATAGATGGGATACATGAGATAGATGGGAAATGGGATACATGGGATAGATGGGATACATGAGATAGATGGGAAATGGGATACATGGGAAATGGGATACATGGGATAGATGGGATACATGGGATAGATGGGATATGGGGTATGGGATAGATGGAAAATGGGATATATGGGGTACGGGATACATGGGGTATGGGATAGATGGGATATAGGGGATATATGCGAGATAGGGCATATATGGGGTATGGCATGTGGGATACAGGATATATGGGATTTATGGGGTACGGGAAATATGGGATATAGGGGATTTATAGGGTACAGGATATATGGGAGATATGGGATATATGGGGTATGGGATATAGGATATATGGGATAGGGGATATAGGATATATGGGGTATAGGATATAGGGGATATGGGGGATATGGAGTATGGGATATAGGGGATATAGGGGATATGGGGTATGGATATAGGGGGTATAGGGGATATGGGGTATGGGATATAGGGGATATGGGGGATATGGAGTATGGGATATAGGGGATATGGGGTATGGGATATAGGGGGTATAGGGGATATGGATATAGGGGATATGGGGTATGGGATATAGGGGATATGGTGTATGGGATATAGGGGATATGGGGTATGGGATATAGGGGGTATAGGGGATATGGGATATGGGATATAGGGGATATGGGGTATGGGATATAGGGGATATGGGGGGTATGGGATATGGGATATGGGGATGGGGATGGGCTCTGGGGGTCTCCATCTCCCTCCCCGCCCCTGCAGGGATCTCGGGGGACTGGAAGAACCACCTGACCCCGGAGCAGAGCTCCCGCTTCGACCGCGTTACCGGGAGCGCATGGCGGGGCTCGGGGTCACCTTCCCCTGGGACCCCCCCGAGGAGCCCCCCGAGGACGAGGCCCCCCCCAGCTCCTCCCAGGACCCCCCCCGAGCCCTGCCCCCCTCCCCAGCCCCCCCCACCCTGAGCCCCCCCCCCGCACCATTGGGGGAGGGGGTTTAGTGCCTTAAGGGGGGGGGGGGGGTCCAGCGCTTCCGCCCCCCCCCCCCTTCATTGGGGGTGGTGGGGTCTCAATAAAGCTGCTCTGTTGGGGGGGGGCCGTGTCCCACCCCACCTTCACCCCCCCCCGGATCACAGGGGTTGGGTTCATTCATTGGGGTTTGGGGGTGTTTTGGGGTGCCCCCCCCCCAGTGCCTCCCAATGGAGTGGGGGTGCAGGGGGAGGAGTGAGTCCCCACTTGGTGCCCATTCCCCACCTGGTTCCATCCCTGCCTGTATCCCCCATCCCTGCCTGGATCCCTTCATCCCTTCCAGCATCCCTTCATCCCTTCCACCATCCCTTCATCCCTCCCAGCATCCTTTCATCCCTGCCTGCATCCCCCATCCCTGCCTGCATCCCTTCATCCCTGCCTGTACCCCCATCCCTCCCTGTATCCCCCATCCCTGCCTGCATCCCCCATCCCTGCCTGCATCCCTTCATCCCTGCCTGTACCCCCATCCCTCCTGTATCCCCCATCCCTGCCTGCATCCCTTCATCCCTCCCAGCATCCTTTCATCCCTGCCTGCATCCCCCATCCCTGCCTGCATCCCTTCATCCCTGCCTGCATCCCCCATCCCTGCCTGTATCCCCCATCCCTGCCTGTATCCCTTCATCCCTGCCTGCATCCCCCATCCCTGCCTGTATCCCCCATCCCTGCCTGCATCCCCCATCCCTGCCTGCATCCCCCATCCCTGCCTGTACCCCCATCCCTCCCTGTATCCCCCATCCCTGCCTGCATCCCTTCATCCCTCCCAGCATCCTTTCATCCCTGCCTGCATCCCCCATCCCTGCCTGCATCCCTTCATCCCTGCCTGCATCCCCCATCCCTGCCTGTATCCCCCATCCCTGCCTGTATCCCTTCATCCCTGCCTGCATCCCCCATCCCTGCCTGTATCCCCCATCCCTGCCTGCATCCCCCATCCGTGCCTGCATCCCCCATCCCTGCCTGTACCCCCATCCCTCCCTGTATCCCCCATCCCTGCCTGCATCCCTTCATCCCCTCCCAGCATCCTTTCATCCCTGCCTGCATCCCTTCATCCCTCCCTGCATCCCTTCATCCCTGCCTGTATCCCCCATCCCTCCCAGCATCCCTTCATCCCTGCCTGTATCCCCCATCCCTGCCTGTACCCCCATCCCTGCCTGTATCCCCCATCCCTGCCTGCATCCCTTCATCCCTCCCTGCATCCCTTCATCCCTGCCTGTATCCCCCATCCCTCCCCAGCATCCCTTCATCCCTGCCTGCATCCCCCATCCCTGCCTGCATCCCCCCTTTTCCTTCCCTTCCCCCCGCTTCCCCCCTCTTTTTCCCCCTTTCCCCCCACTTTTATCCCTCCATTCCTCACCCTTTCCCCCCCCCCCAATTCCCTCCCATTCCCCCCCCCCAAGATCTCTCCTCATCCCATCACTTCCATCCTTTTATTCCTTCCTCGCTCCAAAACGGGGCCGAGCGGGGCCCGAGTCAATAAATAACATCTCCCACACGGGAGGGGACACGTTGGGGGGTCCCTGAGCGCATGGGGGGGAGGGGGGGGGGAGGATGCATCCTCCCCAATAATTAATTAATAATTAATACAATAGGGGCGTGGCTAATAAATATCAATAAATAGGGGTCACAGCTTATTGCGGAGCAGCACCAGGGCCCGCGAGGCCCAGTCCAGGTACAGGTGGAGGCTCTGGAGCACGGCGTGGCCGGCGCGGACCGCGGCCCAGGGCGAGCCCGGGGCCGGCAGCGGGGTCTGGGGGGCGCTGGGTCTGGGGGAGGCTCAGGCGGGAGAGCTGCGAGGGGGGAAACACGCGTGGGCATGGGTGGGCAGGCGTGTACATGCGTGTTCATAGGTGTCAAACCGTGCACATGCGTGTACATGCGTGTCCATAGGTGTCAAACCGTGCACATGCGTGTACATGCGTGTTCATAGGTGTCAAACCGTGCACATGCGTGTACATGCGTGTCCATAGGTGTCAAACCGTGCACATGCGTGTACATGCGTGTCCATAGGTGTCAAACCGTGCACATGCGTGTACATGCGTGTCCATAGGTGTCAAACCGTGTACATGCGTGTACATGCGTGTCCATAGGTGTCAAACCGTGCACATGCGTGTACATGCGTGTTCATAGGTGTCCACCCGTTTACATGCGTGTTCATAGGTGTCCACCCGTTTACATGTGTGTTCATAGGTGTCCACCCGTGTACATGCGTGTCCACCCGTGTACATGTGTGTCCATAGGTGTCCACCCGTGTTCATGCGTGTCCATAGGTGTCCACCCGTGTACATGCGTGACCACGCGTGTTCATGCATGTTCATAGGTGTCCACCCGTGTTCATGCGTGTCCATGCGTGTCCACCCGTGTTCATGCAGGTTCATAGGTGTCCACCTGTGTTCATGCGTGTACGTAGGTGTCCACCCCTGTACATGCATGTACATGTGGGACCACGCGTGTTCATGTGTGTTCATGCGTGTCCACCCCTGTTCATGCGTGTCCATAGGTGTCCACCCGTGATCATGCATGTCCATAGGTGTCCACCCGTGTTCATGCGTGTCCACCCGTGTACATGCATGTCCACCCGTGTTCATGCATGTCCATAGGTGTCCACCCGTGTTCATGCATGTTCATGCGTGTACATGCGTGTCCACCCCGTTCATGGTGTTCATGTGTGTCCACCCGTGTTCATGCATGTACATGCGTATCCACCCGTGTTCATGCGTGTTCATAGGTGTCCACCCGTGCTCATGCATGTCCATAGGTGTCCACCCGTGTTCATGCGTGTCTGCGGGTGTACATGCGTGTCCATCTGTGTTCATGCCTGTCCTTGCGTATACATGCGTGTCCATTCATTTCCATGCATGTCCACCCGTGGTCATGCGTGTCCACACGTGTCCACTCGTGTCCATGCGTGTCCTTGTATGTCCACCCGTGGACATGCGTGTCCACCCGTGTTTATGCTTGTCCACGCATGTACAGACATGCCCACTCGTGTCCACGCGTGGCCATGCATGGGCGAGGCACACGCGTGTGCCGCGGGCGCGCTCAGCGTTGGGGAAGCCCCGCCCATTCCCCCCAAGCCCCGCCCCGAAGCCCGTCCCCATTCGTACAGGTGAGCGAAGCCACGCCCCCCATTCGCGCGAGCCGCTCCCATTGGTGGAAGCCCCGCCCCTACGCGAAGTCCGCCCCCATGCATGCAAGCGAGAGAAGCCACGCCCCCAATAGCCAGGCCACGCCCCCATTCACACGAGCCAGTCCCATTGATAGAAGCCTCCCCTCCTTTCTTAAGCCCCGCCCCGAAGCGAAGTCCGACCCCATTCATAGAGCGCGAAGCCATGCCTCCATTCATACAAGCCACTCCCATTGGTGGAAGCCTTTTGTAAGCCCCGCCCCGACACGAAGCCCGTCCCCGTTCATGCAGGTGAGAGAAGCCATGCCCCAATAGCCAAGCCACGCCCCCATTCACACAAATCTCTCCCATTGGTGGAAGCCGCCCCCCCTTGTCTAAACCCCGCCCCGACTCGAAGCCTATCATTCATAGAGCGCCAAGCCACGCCTCCATTCACACACTCCCCTCCCATTGGTGGAAGCCGCGCCCGCTTGTGTAAGTCGAGCCGCGTCGCGAAGCCATTGCTCATTCATGCAGCTGAGAGAAGCCACGCCCCCAAGCTGCAGGCCACGCCCCATCCGCACACGCCTCACCTATTGGTGGAAGCCACGCCCCCTTGTGTGAGCCCAGCCGCGCCTCGTAGCCCGTCCCCATTCATAGAGCGCGAAGCCACGCCCCCCTCCACACACTCCCCTCCCATTGGTGGAAGCCGCGCCCCCTTGTGTAAGCCCAGCCTCGACGCGAATCCCCATGCTCATTCATGCAGGTGAGAGAAGCCACGCCCCCTCCACACGCTCCGCTCTCATTGGTGGAAGCCACGCCCCCTTGTGTAAGCCCCAGCCGCTCCGCGTGGGCCCGTCCCCCATTCATAGAGCGCGAAGCCACGCCCCCCTCCACACGCTCCCCTCCCATTGGCTGAAGCCCCCGCCCCGCCGCTCCGCCCGTCCCCATTCATGCAGGTGAGCGCCGCCGCGCGCCAAGGAGCCGCGCCCCGCCCCTTCCCCGCCGCACCGCCTCCCCATTGGCCCTCCGCCGCCAAGCCCCGCCTACCAGCAGGTCGAGGCTCCGCCCCAGGCGCTCCAGGCGCGCCAGCAGCGCTCCCAGCTCCGGCTCCAGCGGGCGCAGCGCGGGCCCGGCCCGGCGCAGCCACTCCAGGTGCCGCCGGTAGCGCTGCAGGTCCGAGCTCAGCCGAGAGAGCGCTGCCGCAGCCTGCACCCAACGGGAACCGTCACGGAACGGACCCACAACCGCGGGGGGGGGGGGGAACCGGACCCACAACCGGGGGGGAAACCAGACCCACAACCGGGGAGGGAACCGGACCCACAACCAAGGGGGGAACCGGACCCACAACCGGGGGGAAACCGGACCCACAACCGGGGAGGGAACCGGACCCACAACCGGGGAGGGAACCGGACCCACAACCAGGGAGGGAACTGGACCCACAACCAGGGAGGGAACCGGACCCACAACCAGGGAGGGAACTGGACCCACAACATGGGGGGGGAAACCGGACCCACAACCAGGGAGGGAACCGGACCCACAACCAGGGGGGAAACCGGACTCACAACCAGGGAGGGAACTGGACCCACAACCAGGGAGGGAACCGGACCCACAACCAGGGGGGGGAAACCGGACTCACAACCGGGGAGGGAACCGGACTCACAACCAGGGAGGGAACTGGACCCACAACCAGGGAGGGAACTGGACCCACAACCAGGGGAGGGAACCGGACCCACAACCGGGGGGGGAACCGGACCCACAACCGGGGGGGAAACCGGACCCACAACCAGGGAGGGAACTGGACCCACAACCAGGGAGGGAACCGGACCCACAACCGCGGGGGGGGGGGGGGGGAACCGGACCCACAACCGGGGGGGAAACCGGACCCACAACCAGGGAGGGAACCGGACCCACAACCAGGGGGGAAACCGGACCCACAACCAAGGGGGGAACCGGACCCACAACCGGGGAGGGAACCGGACCCACAACCAGGGAGGGAACTGGACCCACAACCGGGGAGGGAACCGGACCCACAACCAGGGAGGGAACCGGACCCACAACCAGGGGGGAAACCGGACCCACAACCAAGGGGGGAACCGGACCCACAACCGGGGAGGGACCGGACCCACAACCAGGGAGGGAACTGGACCCACAACCGGGGAGGGAACCGGACCCACAACCAGGGGGGAAACCGGACCCACAACCAAGGGGGGAACCGGACCCACAACCAAGGGGGGAACCGGACCCACAACCGGGGAGGGAACCGGACCCACAACCAGGGAGGGAACTGGACCCACACCCAGGGGGGGAAACCGGACTCACAACCAGGGAGGGAACTGGACCCACAACCAGGGAGGGAACCGGACCCACAACCAGGGGGGGAAACCGGACCCACAACAGGGAGGGAACTGGACCCACAACCAGGGAGGGAACCGGACCCACAACCAGGGGGGGAAACCGGACCCACAACCAGGGAGGGAACCGGACCCACAACCAAGGGGGGAACCGGACCCACAACCAGGGAGGGAACCGGGACCCACAACCGGGGGGGGAAACCGGACCCACAACCAGGGGGGAAACCGGACCCACAACCGGGGAGGGAACCGGACCCACAACCAGGGAGGGAACCGGACCCACAACCAAGGGGGGAACCGGACCCACAACCAAGGGGGGAACCGGACCCACAACCGGGGAGGGAACCGGACCCACAACCAGGGAGGGAACTGGACCCACAACCAGGGAGGGAACCGGACCCACAACCAGGGAGGGAACCGGACCCACAACCGGGGAGGGAACCGGACCCACAACCACGGGGGGGAGAACCGGACCCACAACCGGGGAAGGAACCGGACCCACAACCAGGGAGGGAACTGGACCCACAACCAAGGGGGGAACTGGGGGGAACCGGACCCACAACCAGGGAGGGAAACCGGACCCACAACCAGGGAGGGAACCGGACCCACAACCAGGGGGGAAACCGGACCCACAACCAAGGGGGGAACCGGACCCACAACCAAGGGGGGAACCGGACCCACAACCAGGGAGGGAACCGACCCACAACCAGGGAGGGAACCGGACCCACAACCGGGGAGGAACCGGACCCACAACCAGGGAGGGAACCGGACCCACAACCAAGGGGGGAACCGGACCCACAATCAGGGAGGGAACCGGACCCACAACCGGGGGGGGAACCGGACCCACAACCGGGAGGGAACCGGACCCACAACCAGGGAGGGAACCGGACCCACAACCAGGGAGGGGAAACCGGACTCACAACCAGGGAGGGAACCGGACCCACAACCAGGGAGGGGAAACCGGACTCACAACCAGGGAGGGAACCGGACCCACAACCGGGAGGGAACCGGACCCACAACCAGGGAGGGAACTGGACCCACAACCAAGGGGGAACCGGACCCACAACCAGGGAGGGAACCGGACCCACAACCAGGAGGGAACTGGACCCACAACCAAGGGGGGAACCGGACCCACAACCAGGGAGGGAACCGGACCCACAACCAGGGAGGGAACCGGACCCACAACCAGGGGGGAAATCGGACCCACAACCAAGGGGGGAACCGGACCCACAACCAAGGGGGGAACCGGACCCACAACCGGGGAGGGAACCGGACCCACAACCAGGGGAGGGAACTGGACCCACAACCGGGGAGGGAACCGGACCCACAACCAAGGGGGGAGAACCGGAACCCACAACCGGGGAAGGAACCGGACCCACAACCAGGGAGGGAACTGGACCCACAACCAAGGGGGGAACCGGACCCACAACCAGGGAGGGAACCGGACCCACAACCAGGGAGGGAACTGGACCCACAACCAGGGAGGGAACTGGACCCACAACCAGGGGGGGAAACCGGACCCACAACCAGGGAGGGAACCGGACCCACAACCGGGGAGGGAACCGGACCCACAACCAGGGAGGGAACTGGACCCACAACCAGGGAGGGAACCGGACCCACAACCGGGGAGGGAACCGGACCCACAACCAGGGAGGGAACTGGACCCACAACCAGGGAGGGAACCGGACCCACAACCAGGGAGGGAACCGGACCCACAACCAGGGGGGGGAAACCGGACTCACAACCAGGGAGGGAACTGGACCCACAACCAAGGGGGAACCGGACCCACAACCAAGGGGGGAACCGGACTCACAACTGGGGGGGAAGGAACCGGACCCACAACCAGGGAGGGGGGACCAGACCCATGGGGGGGACAGGGACCCACAACCGGGGGAGGGGAACCGGACCCACAGCGGGGGGGAGGAACCGGACCTATGGAGGGGACAGGGACCCACAACCAGGGAGGGAACCGGACCCACAACCAGGGAGGGAACCGGACCCACAACCACGGGGGGGAGAACCGGACCCACAACTGGGGGGGGGGAGGGAACCGGACCGACAACCGGGGGGGGAACCGGACCCACAACCGGGGGGGGAACCGGACCCACAACCAGGGAGGGAACCGGACCCATGGGGGGGACAGGGACCCACAATCAGGGGGGAGGAACCGGACTCACAACCAGGGGGGAATCAGACCCACAACCGGGGGGAAGGGGGGTGTGAACCGCACCCACAAGCAGGGGGGGGGACCGGACCCACAACTGAGGGGGGAACAGGACCCACAACCAGGGAGGGTGGAACCGGACCCACAACCGGGGGGCGGGGAACCGGACCTACAACCCAGAGGAGGACCCGGACCCATGGGGGGGATCCAGACCCATGGGGGGGACAGGGACCCACAACCAGAGGGGAACCCAGACCGGGGAGGGACTCGGACCCATGGGGGGGACAAGAACCCATAGTGGGGAATCTGACCCATGGGGAGGAACCGGACCCGGAGGGGACAAGAACCCACAGGAGACACCCGGACCCATGGATTGGGACCCACACCCATGGGGGGAAACCTGACCCACAACCAGAGGGGGACCTTGACCCGAACCTATGGGGGGGACCCGAAGCGTTGGGGGGGACCTGAACCCACAACCAGGGGGGACCCGAACCCATGGGGGGGGACTCGAATCCATCCCGGGGACCTGAACCCATCGCGGGGACCCAGACCCTTGGATTGGGACCCAGATCCATGGGGGGACCCGGACCCGGGGGGACCCGAACACATGGGGGGGACCTGAACCCATCCCGGGGACCCGGACCCTTGGGGGTGACCCGGACCCATTGGGGGTGACCCGAACCCTTGGGGGGGACCCGAACCCATGACGGGGACCTAGACTCATGGAGGGGACCCAGACTCATGGAGGGGACCCGAACACATGGGGAGACGTGAACCCGCAACCATGGGGGAACCCGAACCCATGGAAGGGACCCCAACCCATGGAATAACCGGACCCATTGTGAGGACCCGAACCCATCGTGGGGACCCGAACACACGGGGGGACCCGAACCCATCAGAGACCCCGCTTAGAGACCCCTTTGAGGACCCGAACCCATCGTAGGGACCCGAACCCATCGGGGACCCCGCTTAGAGACCCCCTTGAGGACCCGAACCCATCGTAGGGACCCGAACCCATTGGGGACCCCGCTTAGAGACCCCCTTGAGGACCCGAACCCATCGTAGGGACCCGAACCCATCGGGGACCCCGCTTAGAGACCCCCTTGAGGACCCGAACCCATCGTAGGGACCCGAACCTATCGGGGACCCCGCTTAGAGACCCCCATTGAAGGGACCCGGCCCCATGGGAGGGACCCAAACACACGGGGGGACCCGAACCCGCAGCCATGGAGGGACCCCAACCCCCGGGGGGGGGGGGGGGGGGTCCGGCTGCCTATGGGGGACCCCACGGCCACCCCAATTCCCCTCCCCACGCGTGTCCCTTCCCGTTCCCCACCTGGATATTGGCGAGCTCCAGGGCGCTCATGGAGAGCACGGGCAGCGAATCCAGTTTATGCTCCCCTTCGGCCGGGAATCGCGACTTCTGTCGGCGACATAAATGGAAAAGGGGGGGAGGGGGGGTGTCACCCAATGCACCAAGGAGGGGGGAGGGGGGGGGGATGTGGGATTTGGGGGGGGGAGGGGGGGTACCCACGAGGAGCGCGAGGAAGGCTTTGGTGTCGCTGAGCAGCGCCTTGGCGAGGCTGACGATGGCGTCGAGCTCGGTGCGGGGGTCCGGGGGTCGCGGGCGGGGGGGCCCCGCAAGGACCGGGCACGGCCCCGGCCACAGCCCCGGCCACAGCCCCAGGAGGGCGAACAGCGCCCGCCACGGAGCCCCTGCGGACACGGACACGAGTGAGGGGGGGGGCACATCCAGAGGGGGGGATCCAGGGATGGGGGGGGGGGAGACCCCGAGTGGGGGGATCCCGAGTGGGATAAGGCTGGGATAATGAGGGAGAGACCCCCATTAAGGGGATCCCGAGTGGGAAAATCCCGGGATAATGAGGGGGAGGCCCCCAGTGAAGGGGTCCCGAATGGGAGACTCCGAGGGGGGAGGATCCCAAATGGGGGGATCCCGAGTGGGATAATGCAGGGATAACGAGGGGGAGACCCCCATTAAGGGGATCCCGAGTGGGAAAATCCCGGGATAATGAGGGGGAGACCCCCAGTGAAGGGGTCCCGAATGGGAGACTCCGAGGGGGGAGGATCCCAAATGGGGGGATCCCGAGTGGGATAATGCAGGGATGAGTGGGAGACCCCCAGTGAGGGGATCCCGAATGGGATAATGCAGGGATAATGAGGGAGAGACCCCCATTAAGGGGATCCCGAGTGGGAGACTCCGAGTGGGGTGATCCCAAATGGGGGGATCCCGAGTGGGATAATGCAGGGATAACGAGGGGGAGACCCCCATTAAGGGGATCCCGAGTGGGAGACTCCGGGGGGGAGCATCCCAAATGGGGGGATCCCGAGTGGGATAATGCAGGGATAACGAGTGGGAGACCCCCATTAAGGGGATCCCGAGTGGGAGACTCCGAGTGGGGGGATCCCAAATGGGGGGATCCCGAGTGGGATAATGCAGGGATAATGAGTGGGGGATCGCAAAACGGGGGGATCTCGGTGTTCCCGAGTGGGATAATCCCGGGATAATGAATGGGGGGATCCCAAAAAGCAAGAACCAGAGTGGGATAATGCAGGGATAACGAGGGGGAGACCCCTGTTTATGGGATCCCGAGTGGGATAAGGCTGGGGTAACGAGGGGGAGACCCCCATTAAGGGGATCCCGAGTGGGAAAATCCCGGAACGAGTGGGGGGGATCGCAAAAGGGGGGGGGGGGGGGATCCTGGTGTTCCCGAGTGGGAGACTCCGAGTGGGGGGATCCCGAATGAGAGGATCCCGAGTGGGATAAGGCCGGGATAAGGAATGGGGGATCGCAAAACGGGGGGATCCCGGTGTTCCCGAGTGGGATAATCCCGGGATAATGAATGGGGGGATCCCAAAAAGCAAGATCCCGAGTGGGATAAGGTGGGATAACGAGGGGGAGACCCCCATTAAGGGGATCCCGAGTGGGATAATGCTGGGATAACAAGTGGGAGACCCCTGTTAATGGGATCCCGAGTGGGAGACTCCGAGTGGGGGGATCCCAAATGGGGGGATCCCGAGTGGGATAACCCCGGGATCTCGAGTGGGGAGACCCTGAACGGGGAGACGCCGAGTGAGGGGATCCCAAAAGGGATGCTCCAGGTATTCCCGAGGGGAGTATCCCGGGGTCCAGAGTGGGTGACGCTGAATGGGGGGATCCCAAATGAGGGGATCCCGGTGTTCCCGAGTGGGATTATCCCGGGATCTCGCGTGGGGGAGAGCAAAAGGGGGGGGGGGGGGGGGATCCCGAGTGAGGGGATCCCGGTGTTCCTGTGAGGAGCATCCCGGGTTTCAGAGTGGGAGACTCCGAATGGAGGGATCCCAAGTGGGGGGATCCCAGGTGGGATAATGCCGGGATCCCGAACGGGGAGACCCCGAGTGAGGGGATCCCGGTGTTCCCGAGAGGGGTATCCCGGGGTCCAGAGTGGGAGACCCTGAACGGGGAGGGGATCCCAAATGGGGGACACCCCGGCATTCCCGAACGGGATCCGGGGACGCCGCAATCCCGCTGCTCCCCGGAACAGCCGGAATTGGGGGATCCCGGCGCTGGGGATCCCGGGATTTAGGGCTGAGGATCCCGGGATTCCCGTCCCTTCCCGGTGGGATGAAAGGGGGGGGGGGGGGGGGGCGGCGGCGCGTCCTGTGCGGTCCGGGCTGGAAAGTTTGATGCGGGTGAGTCAGGGGCGGCCCCAATGTGGGGGGGGGGGGGCCGGGATGGGGATAGGGGGGTGTCCGGGACATCAACCCCCCCACATTGACCCCCTTCTGCCCCACACATTGACCCCCACACCCCTCCCCACATTGACCCCCGTCTGCCCCACACATTGACCCGCAGACACCCCACGCATTGACCCACCCAGCACTGCCCCACACATTGACCCCCACCCTCCCCCCCCCCCCCCCCCACCTCTGCCCCACACATGGGGGGCGGAGCCGCCGCGGGCGGGGCAGGTGCGCGCCGGGGCCGTTTGTGGCTTTGAGGCGCGGCGGCAGCTGCCCGCGCCCCGAGGCCACGGGGATGGACGCGCCCGGTCCCGCCGTTTGGCGGGGGGGGGGGGGGGGTGTTGGGTGCTGGGGGGGGGGGGGGGGGTGAGGGATGTGGGGCAGGATCCACCCGTGGACACCCCCCCCATCCCATGTTATAGGGTGGGGGGGGGACGTGGTCCCCAAACCTTGGGGTCCCCCTCCTCCAATCACGACCTCCCACTCGTGTGTGTGTCCCCCCCCATTCATAAGCGTGGCACTTACTTGTCATGGCGGGGCCGGAGGGTGCCCCCACGGGGCCGGGATGGGACCCACGGGTGGGGGGGTGAGGATGGGGCTTGGGGGTGGGGTGTGGGGTGTTGCACAAGCGTGGATTCAGGCGGGGATGGGGAACGGGAACGGGGCAAAACGCGGTGCCGGGGGCACGGGGCCGCTCAGCTTGAAACGGGGCAGGGGCTCGGGTGCGTTTCCACGCAGCCCAAAACGCTTCCACGCAGCCCAAAACGCTTCCACGCAGCCAAAACGCTTCCACGCAGCCCAAAACGCTCCCGAGGCCACGGCCACGCTCCCACTTACCCGCTCACGGCCACGTTCGCGCTGTCACAGCCCCGTTTCCACTCAGGGGGACACCTCCAAACGGCCGCGGCCACGCTGCCACGCACCCAAAACGCTTCCACGCACCCAAAAACGCTTCCACGCACGCCAAAAACGCTTCCACGCACCCCAAAAACGTTTCCACGCACCCAAAAACTCGTCCACGCACCCAAAACACGCTCCCGATGCCACGGCCGCGCTCCCCCTTACCCACTCACGGCCACTCTCCCATGCGCCCCAAACGCTTCCACGCACCCCCAAACTCCTCCACGCACCCCCAAACGCCTCCACGCACCCCAGAAACGCCTCCACGCACCCCCAAACGCCTCCACGCACCCCAGAAACGCTTCCACGCTCTCAACGCCAAAGCCACGCTCCCCTGCACCCACTCAGCACCACGCTCCCCCGCACCCAGACGCGTTTCCCACGCACCCACTCGCGGCGTTTTTTTCCCCCCCCCCGTTTTTCCCCGTTCTTTCCCGTTCTCTCCACAACACGGGGGGGGTGGGGACACCGGTTTAAAGGGGTCCAAAAGGGGAAGGGGGGGGGAGGAAGAGAGGGGGGAGGGGGGGGGAAGGGGGGTGTCCGGTTGTGTCCCGCGTGTCCTCGCGTGGGGCGGCGGGAGCGTGTCCGGTGTCCCCGCGTGACGCCCGGTTCCGCGCCGGCCCCATTTATACGGCGGCGCGGGCGCCGTTGGCGATGACACACGCGTGAGTCACGGCTTTTCCATTCAGCAACGCACCGGGGGGAGAGAAACCCCCCACGGACACGGCGGGGGGCGGCGGGACCCCCCCCCGCCCCACATCGGACCCACACCCCCCACTCATTCATCCGTACCGGGGGGAGGGGGGGGGTGGGGGGGGGGAAGGCAACGGGGTTGGGATCCGGAACCGGGATGGGGATGGGGATGGAGAGGGGTCGGGACCGCACCGGGAGTGGTCCTGCATCGGGGGATGTAACGGTATCGGGTCCGGTCATTGCAATGGGGATGATCCCGGTTCAGAACCGGGATGGACCTGGAGCAGGATCGGGCCCGCACTGGGGTCCATAACGGCACCGGGTCCGGTCATTGCAATGGGGATGATCCCGGTTCAGAACCGGGATGGACCTGGAGAAGGATCGGGCCCGCACTGGGGTCCATAACGGCACCGGGTCCGGTCATGGAAATGGGGATGATCCCGGTTCAGAACCGGGATCCACCTGGAGCAGGATCGGGCCCGCACTGGGGTCCGTAATGGCACTGGGTCCGGTCATGGCAATGGGGATGATCCCGGTCCAGAACCGGGATCCACCTGGAGCAGGATCGGGCCCGCACCGGGGTCCATAACAGCACCGGGTCCGGTCATTGCAATGGGGATGATCCCGGTTCAGAACCGGGATCCACCTGGAGCAGGATCGGGCCCGCACCGGGGTCCATAACAGCACCGGGTCCGGTCATTGCAATGGGGATGATCCCGGTTCAGAACCGGGATCCACCTGGAGAAGGATCGGGCCCGCACCGGGGTCCATAACCGCACCGGGTCCGGTCATTGCAATGGGGATGATCCCGGTTCAGAACCGGGATGGACCTGGAGCAGGATCGGGCCCGCACCGGGGTCCATAACCGCACCGGGTCCGGTCATTGCAATGGGGATGATCCCGGTTCAGAACCGGGATGGACCTGGAGAACGATTGGGCCCGCACCGGGGTCCATAACGGCATCGGGTCCGGTCATTGCAATGGGGATGATCCCGGTTCAGAACCGGGATGAACCTGGACCAGGATCGGGCCCACACCGGTATCGGTCTGCTTGTGGGGGTCCCTAATGGCATCGGGTCCGGTCATTGCAATGGGGATGATCCCGGTCCAGAACCGGGATGAACCTGGATCAGGATCGGGCCCGCACCAGAGTCCGTAAAAGCAAAGGGGTCCTGTCATGGCAATGGGGATGATCCCGGTTCAGAACCGGGATGAACCCGGACCAGAACCGGAATGAACCTGGACCAGGATCGGGCCCGTACCGGGGTCCATAACAGCACCAGGTCCGGTCATTGCAATGGGAATGATCCTGGTTCAGAACCGGGATGAACTCGGACCAGGATTGAGCCCACACCGGTATCGGTCTGGTTGTGGGGTCCCTAATGGCACCAGGTCCAGTGATTGCAATGGGGATGATCCCGGTTCAGAACCGGGATGAACCCGGACCAGGATTGGGCCCACACCGGTATCGGTCCGGTTGTGGGGTCCCTAATGGCACCGGCTCCGGTCATGGCAGTGGGGATGATCCCGGTTCAGAACCGGGATGAACCTGCACCAGGATCGGGCCCGCACCGGGATCCGTAACAGCACCAGGTCCGGTCACTACAATGGGGATGATCCCGGACCAGGATCGGGATGAACCTGGACCGGGATGAACCTGGGCTGGGATGAACCTGGACCGGGAAATGGTCCCGCACTGGGATCCGTAACGGCGCTGGTTCTGGTCAATGCAATGGGGACTATCCCGGTACCGAATCGGGATCAACCTGGACCGGGATGAACCTGGACCGGGGTCGATCCTGTTGTAGGATCCATAATGGCACCGGGTCCGGTCATGGCAATGGGGATGATCCCGGTCCAGAACGGGGATGAACCTGGAGCAGGATCGGGCCCGCACAGGATCCATAACGACATGGAGTCCGGTCATTGCAATGGGGATGATCCCGGTTCAGAACTGGGATGAACCTGTACTGGGAATGGTCCCGCACTGGGGTCCGTAATGGCACTGGTTCTGGTCAATGCAATGGGAACGATCCCGGTACCGAATCGGGATGAACCTGGACCGGGGTGAACCTGGACCAGGATCGGGCCCTCACTGGGGTCCATAACGGCACCGGGTCCGGTCATGGCAATGGGGATGATCCCGGTTCAGAACCGGGATGAACCCGGACCAGGATCGGGCCCGCACTGGGGTCCATAACGGCACCGGGTCCGGTCATGTCAATGGGGATGATCCCGGTTCAGAACCGGGGTGAACCTGGAGCAGGATCGGGCCTTCAGTGGGGTCCATAACGGCACCGGGTCCGGTCATGGCAATGGGGATGATCCCGGTTCAGAACCGGGATGAACCCGGACCAGGATCGGGCCCTCACTGGGGTCCATAACGGCACCGGGTCCGGTCATGTCAATGGGGATGATCCCGGTTCAGAACCGGGGTGAACCTGGAGCAGGATCGGGCCTTCAGTGGGGTCCATAACGGCACCGGTTCCGGTCATGGCAATGGGGATGATCCCGGTCCAGAACCGGGATGAACCCGGACCAGGATCGGGCCCACACCGGTGTCGGTCCGTTGTGGGATCCATAACGACACCGGGTCCGGTCACTGCAATGGAAACGATCCCAGTCCAAAACCGGGATCAACCGGGATCGGTTCCCGGTGTATTCAGGGCACTGAGGTCGGGCCCGCACCGGGCTCCATAGGGGCACCGGCTCCGGTCATGGCGATGGGTCCGGTACCCCCCCCCCTTCCCCCCCCCGGATCCCTCCCCCACCCCCACCCCCCCTTGACTCATTTCCCCCCCCCTTAACCCCGCCCCCCCCCCCTCCGGTCTCGCCCCCCCCCCCCCCCCCCCCCCGGGTCGCGCCACGCGCGTCAGCGCCGGGACCCCCCGTGGGGCTGCGGCGGGACCGGGGCGCGGGGGGGGGGGGGGGGGGGGGGGGGCGGGGCCAAGGGGAGGGGGCTGGGTTAAGGGGGGGGGGGGCACCTGTAGAGGGGACCCAGAGGTCTATGGGGAGCAGCCATGGACCCATAGAGGGCTCCTATGGGGAGCACTCACAGATCTATGGGGAGCACCCACTGACCCATAGAGGGCTCCTATGGGGAGCACCCACTGACCCACAGACAGCACCTATAGAGGGGACCCATAGATCTATGGGGAGCACCTATTGACCCGCAGAGGGCTCCTAGGGGGAGCACCCATTGACTCATAGAGGGCTCCTATGGGGAGCACCCATTGACCCATAGAGGGCTCCTATGGGGAGCACCCACAGATCTATGGGGAGCACCCACTGACCCACAGACAGCACCTATAGAGGGGACCCATAGATCTATGGGGAGCACCTATTGACCCGCAGAGGGCTCCTATGGGGAGCACCCATTGACCTATGGGGAGCACCCACTGACCCACAGACAGCACGTATAGAGGGGACCCATAGATCTATGGGGAGCACCTATTGACCCGCAGAGGGCTCCTATGGGGAGCACCCACTGACCCACAGACAGCACCTATAGTGAGGACCCATAGATCTATGGGGAGCACCTACTGACCCCCAGAAGGCTCCTATGGGGAGCACCCACTGACCCATAGAGGGCTCCCATGGGGAGCACCCACTGATCTATGGGGAGCACCAACTGACCCACAGACAGCACCTACAGAGGGGACCCATAGATCTATGGGGAGCACCTATTGACCCATAGAGGGCTCCTATGGGGAGCACCCATTGACTCATAGAGGGCTCCCATGGGGAGCACCCATAGACCTATGGGGAGCACCCACTGACCCATAGAGGGCTCCCATGGGGAGCACCCATAGACCTATGGGGAGCACCCACTGACCCATAGAGGGCTCCCATGGGGAGCACCCACTGATCTATGGGGAGCACCCACTGACCCATAGAGGGCTATGGGGAGCCCCGCCCCCCGGGACCACCCACGTGGTGTTGCGGTGGGGGGAGGGGCCCGAACCCTCCGCCCCTCCCCCCGCATTGGGCAACGCCGGCAGCGGGAGGGGGGAGGTGAGGGGGAGGGGGGGCCGCGGTGACGTCAGCGACGGCAGCAGCGGAAACCCCGCGAGCCGCAGAGAACCCCCCCCGGCCCCCCACATCCTGCCCCATAGAGAGAGAGAGAGACCGATAGAGAGCCCCATAGAGAGAGAGAGAGACCCATAGAGAGCCCCATAGAGAGAGAGAGAGACCCATAGAGAGAGAGAGAGCCCCATAGAGAGCCCCATAGAGAGAGAGAGAGACCCATAGAGAGCCCCATAGAGAGCCCCATAGAGAGAGAGAGAGCCCCATAGAGAGCCCCATAGAGAGCCCCATAGAGAGAGAGAGAGCCCCATAGAGAGCCCCATAGAGAGCCCCATAGAGAGAGAGAGAGCCCCATAGAGAGCCCCATAGAGAGCCCCATAGAGAGAGAGAGAGACCCATAGAGAGCCCCATAGAGAGAGAGCCCCATAGAGAGCCCCATAGAGAGAGAGAGAGACCCATAGAGAGCCCCATAGAGAGAGAGAGAGACCCATAGAGAGAGAGAGAGCCCCATAGAGAGCCCCATAGAGAGAGAGAGAGACCCATAGAGAGCCCCATAGAGAGCCCCATAGAGAGAGAGAGAGCCCCATAGAGAGCCCCATAGAGAGCCCCATAGAGAGAGAGAGAGCCCCATAGAGAGCCCCATAGAGAGCCCCATAGAGAGAGAGAGAGCCCCATAGAGAGCCCCATAGAGAGCCCCATAGAGAGAGAGAGAGACCCATAGAGAGCCCCATAGAGAGAGAGCCCCATAGAGAGCCCCATAGAGAGAGAGAGAGACCCATAGAGAGCCCCATAGAGAGAGAGAGAGCCCCATAGAGAGAGAGAGAGCCCCATAGAGAGCCCCATAGAGAGCCCCATAGAGAGAGAGAGAGACCCATAGAGAGCCCCATAGAGAGCCCCATAGAGAGAGAGAGAGCCCCATAGAGAGCCCCATAGAGAGCCCCATAGAGAGAGAGAGAGACCCATAGAGAGCCCCATAGAGAGAGAGCCCCATAGAGAGCCCCATAGAGAGAGAGAGAGCCCCATAGAGAGCCCCATAGAGAGCCCCATAGAGAGAGAGAGAGCCCCATAGAGAGCCCCATAGAGAGAGAGAGACCCATAGAGAGCCCCATAGAGAGCCCCATAGAGAGAGAGAGAGACCCATAGAGAGCCCCATAGAGAGCCCCATAGAGAGCCCCATAGAGAGAGAGAGAGCCCCATAGAGAGCCCCATAGAGAGAGCCCCATAGAGAGAGAGAGAGCCCCATAGAGAGCCCCATAGAGAGAGAGAGGGAGCCCCATAGAGAGACCCATAGAGAGAGAGAGAGCCCCATAGAGAGCCCCATAGAGAGAGAGACCCATAGAGAGAGAGAGAGACCCATAGAGAGAGAGAGGGAGCCCCATAGAGAGCCCCATAGAGAGAGACAGAGAGCCCCATAGGGAGCCCCATAGAGAGAGAGAGAGAGACCCATAGAGAGACCCATAGAGAGAGACAGAGAGCCCCATAGGGAGCCCCATAGAGAGAGAGAGAGAGCCCCATAGAGAGACAGAGAGCCCCATAGGGAGCCCCATAGAGAGCCCCATAGAGAGAGAGAGAGCCCCATAGGGAGCCCCATAGAGAGCCCCATAGAGAGAGAGAGCCCCGTAGAGAGACCCATAGAGAGAGACAGAGAGCCCCATAGGGAGCCCCATAGAGAGAGAGAGAGCCCCATAGAGAGAGAGAGAGCCCCATAGGGAGCCCCATAGAGAGAGACAGAGAGCCCCATAGAGAGCCTCATAGAGAGAGAGCCCCATAGAGAGAGAACACCCCATAGAGAGCCCCATAGAGAGAGAGAGAGAGACCCATAGAGAGCCCCATAGAGAGCCCCATAGAGAGAGCCCCATAGAGAGCCCCATAGAGAGAGAGAGAGCCCCATAGAGAGCCCCATAGAGAGAGCCCCATAGAGAGCCCCATAGAGAGAGAGCCCCATAGAGAGAGAACACCCCATAGAGAGCCCCATAGAGAGAGAGAGAGAGAGCCCCATAGAGAGCCCCATAGAGAGAGAGAGAGCCCCATAGAGAGAGAGCGAGCCCCATACAGAGCCCCATAGAGAGAGAGGGAGACCCATAGAGAGCCCCATAGAGAGAGAGAGAGACCCATAGAGAGCCCCATAGAGAGAGAGGGAGACCCATAGAGAGCACCATAGAGAGAGAGAGAGACCCATAGAGAGCCCCATAGAGAGAGAGAGAGACCCATAGGGAGACCCATAGAGAGAGACCCAGAGACCCATACAGAGCACCATAGAGAGAGAGACCCATAGGGAGAGAGACCCATAGAGAGGGAGCTCCATAGAGAGCCCCATAGAGAGAGACGGAGAGACCCATAGAGAGACCCATAGAGAGAGGGAGAGACCCATAGAGAGCCCCATAGAGAGAGAGAGAGACCCATAGGGAGAGAGACCCATATATAGAGAGAGAGCCCCATAGAGAGAGACCCATAGAGAGAGAGAGGGAGCTCCATAGAGAGCCCCATAGAGAGAGACGGAGAGCCCCATAGAGAGAGAGAGAGCCCCATAGGGAGCCCCAGAGAGAGCCCCAGAGAGAGAGAGAGACCCATAGAGAGCCCCATAGAGGGAGACAGCCCCATAGGGAGCCTCATAGAGAGAGACGGAGATCCCCATAGGGAGCCCCATAGAGAGAGAGAGAGAGCCCCATAGAGAGCCCCATAGAGAGAGAGAGCGCCCCATAGGGAGCCCCACAGAGAGAGAGAGAGACCCATAGAGAGAGAGAGAGCCCCATAGAGAGCCCCATAGATAGCACCCCATAGAGAGCCCCATAGAGAGAGAGCCCCATAGAGAGAGAGCCCCATAGAGAGCCCCATAGAGAGAGCACCCCATAGAGAGCCCCATAGAGAGAGAAAGAGCCC